ACCCTTGGCAGTCTAGAGTTTGAGGAGATCATTTTAATTATCGGAATGGTTTAGAGCTCCAAAAGCACACGTGATCCAGCAAATCATATCTCAAAACTCCTTGTTTAAAAACCTGTGAAGTTCCAAATTTGTGTACAAATGTAAGTCGCCATATAAAAGACTGTTGGTAAAAAAAGCCAAACTCACACCAAACATTAAACAAATCCAAAGTTGCAGAATAGATATTGTTGCAAACATAAACGTGTGTATTTCTCATACCTGTTGCCAGATGTAGCAAAAAAAATAAAATAACCAGTGTTCAAATTATAACAGTCCATATTAAAACAATTTACATTATAAAAACCAGACCATCCAGCCTGTTCGGTAAAAGCAATGCAATAGTGACCTATACTACAAAAGAAATAAATGTAAACACTTATACATTGATTTAAAATAATTGGCCCTGTTACAATAACACATCAAATGAGCTCTACTACAAAATAAATAAATACTAACACTAATAAATTAATTTCAAATAATTGGTGATTTAAAAATAATTAAGTGCACTTTTCAATGTCACTCGGACTGTCTATTCCACTTGCAAGAGCTCCCATCTGGATGTCCTCTCGATGTTGATATAGGTTAAATGAAAGATGGGTAACAGTGGAATCCACCAACCAGAAAGGGAAAAAAAAGCTGATCTGGACCAAATCAGAGGGATCATTCATTGTCCATAAAATGCCGCTTGCCAGATCTATTCTCAAAAAAATTAGTTTGTTTTGTTTTGATTTTTTCTTATGGTGTCTGCTCAGCTGGCTAATTGGCCAAAGTGAACTCTTCCTCTTTACAACTGGACAATCACATAGTTGAGCTTACAGAATAAGTCCCTAAAGAATTCCATATCTATCTGGGATAATGTTCTTATTATCCATAGTGCCCTATTTTGATACCAGCTTGTAACAAGTTGATACATTATTTATTAGCAGAGAGTCATCAGTTGATTCTCTCATATCACTTTTCATAACATTTATTTGGACTATAGACCCAGGTAAAGCTACATAAATTTTTACTACACAAATTCAAAGACGGTCCCTTTGCATTTTTATAAGTACCATGTTGGAATTAGTGGCATAGGCTTCAACATGAATGTGCAGTGGTGAGCTACAGAATGAATAAATAAAGACTAGAACACTGTATTTGTTTTCTTTATTTAAAAAAAAAAAATGTGTCTCAGAAGGGATATGATAGCAAATGTAATATACATATATATTAAGTGTCAGTGCAAGCCATGCTAACCTGTTTATTAGCAGGAATGTACAACAGACAAGAGGTCATCCATTGAGACTGGAAGAAATGTTCTTTCGCTTACAGAAGAGGAAAGTAAGAACAATAAAGATGTGGAATTCTCTACTCAAAGAAACTGTAGATGTTTGTTTTAAAAAAGGCATGGATGATTGTGATGGTTCACCCTGTCCCTGGAATTGTGATCCCATTGTTTCGTTCGCCTATGGGTTCGGGACATTTCATTCACCTTCATTTTTGTATTTTATTTCATTCCCCTACTGAATGAACTACCGAACAACCGGACCACCCGTATGAGGAGTGTGCCATTCATTAATCCCTGTCACCTCATTAACACTCCTAAACTGCAAGAGTTGGAAGCGGTCGACTGGGTGGCAGTTCGAAATGCGAACACGTGGCGGCGGCCATCTTTAGCTGCGTACACAAAAAGCAGTGTTTGGTTGTCAGGTGCATGGAACCCAAAATGGACACTCGACGGCGCTGCTAAACAAACCTTCCATCAACTATCGGCTAAACGGATGGGAATTGAACAGTGTTTGGTGGGAGCAAGCTCCCGAACGAGAGACATAGACTAAACTTATGCACGAACTGTTACATTTAGTATTTGTGACTATATTGGGTATATACAAGGAGCCTCGTGTGCGGTCGGTCAAAATAAGACTTCCATGGAAATCCCGAAGCCCTGAACCAATCTGGGGGATTTTTGGATATGTTGGTAACCCAGATCGGGCTATCAGGGGATGTAACTTTTGTGGGATTTCCATGGGTTTTAGGGGTACTTTCAGGGTACTGCTGAAATGTGTGTGTTTTTTTTGCCTGAAGATAATTAATTTAGCATAGTTCCTGATCCAATTATCTCACAGGGGAGGTATTGTCTCATTTTGTATGGGAGTGTCCTGGACCTGAGAGCTAATGTAGTCGCATGTATGTTTGTACTGTAGTCTACTCTTAGGTCCAGAGGGGAGTGCCCCTTGCATGGGGATTGTCATTAAAGGCCGTGTCTGACTCCATTAAAACCAGCTGTCCCACAGCATAGAGCCTCGTCTCATGTTTGTGGGAGAAAGCTATAACAGCTGTCTCCCTTCTGCTTGGAGTGCTTAAAGGACCACTATAGTGCCAGGAAAACAAACTCATTTTCCTGGCACTATAGTGTTAATAGGTCCCCCCACCCTCTGGGTCCCCCTCCCGCCAGGATCTAGGGGTAGGAAGGGGTTAAACGCTTACCTTTCCCCAGCGCCGGGCTCCCTCTGTGCTGGGGACTCTCCTCCTTCTTCCGACGTCATCGGCTGAATGCGCATGCGGGGCAATAGCTGCGCGCGCATTCAGTCAGTCCATAGGAAAGGATTTCTCAATGCTTTCCTATGAACGCTGGCATCTTCTCACTGTGAAAATCACAGTGAGAAGTGCGGAAGTGCCTCTAGCAGCTGTCAATGAGACAGTCACTAGAGGCTGGATTAACCCATATGTAAACATAGCAGTTTCTCTTAAACTGCTATGTTTACAGCAGGCAGGGTTAACCCTAGATGGACCTGGCACCCAGACCACTTCATTAAGCTGAAGTGGTCTGGGTGCCTATAGTGGTCCTTTAATCATTAGCTCTTGTAAGAGCTATTCCTGCTCTGCTTTACAGCATCCCTCCCACTAGGGGGAAAAGAACATCTCTGGCGGCGGAACTCCTCTTCCCATCGGGGGGGCAGCCACATAGTTTTTTGGGGAAAACTGATTTTTTTTGTGTGCATTTTAGTAATGTAAACAGGTTGATGACTCGCCTGTAACATCTGGTGAACCCATTTTTTTTGTTATTTTTTTTTTTGTTGTGCTTTGTATGGTGCACAACTTGCCATAAGACATGCAATCAACAGTGTAATCATGGTCATAGCATTGTAACAGAACATATCAGTTATACAGCACATTTTATAATATAAATGATTGTGACGAGACCAACTGTGCATTGGAGGAGCCTGGTTGCCCGTCTGCTGCCTTTAGACTATGGCCCCATGTTGAAACGCTTGATTTTCCCCATGCGGAGACACAAAAGCCGGGTCATTCGGTGCTGGCCCTGCTTGAGCAGTGATACCCCAGATAGCTATGCCATGGAGCCCATTCGTATAATGAAAGACTATGGGAAAGACTTTGGCTCCATGGCAATTGAACTGTATGTGTGTGCTCTGAGCGCCATTCAGTTATAATGTGCGCTCAGATCTGAGCTATCTGGGGATATGTTGAATGTACCTGTTTTGTGCAATGGCTACACAGTTATATGTTTTTATGTGTTTTATTGTCTTTTGCTGCCATGTGTTCAATGGAGTTTTGCCTCTGTCCTTGGAGATAATTGGATTACTTCCCAATTATCTCCAGGATAGAAGACTCTGTGGAACTGGTTTTGGGCAGAAAAGCCATGCTTCCTTTGGTTACAAAGGATTACGATCTATCTTTTGAACCCCTGGACCAATTTGGATGATTTTGACATATGTTTGTATTTGGAGTATGCTGATTCTGAAAATGTAAGTTTTATGTGAATGTGATACTTTTCAAGTTATGAATAATGTGGAAAAATTGTATTTCTCTGCTTGTGATAATTACATTACCCATTGTGTAAGGTAATTGTATCACAGGCAGAGGGGAGGATTTTATGTGGGAGTGTCTGAGTGTATTGTATGTGTTTATTGGTTGTGCTCCAAAACTCTGTGGGTGGTACTAAGGTGTATATAAGAACAATAAACCCACAGCTCTGTCTGACCACTGCTTGACCCTCAACACGGAGCCTTGTCTCGTATTTGGGGGGATTTACTGAATGCTGATAGAGACTGATTGCTAGGAGTGTAAGCCGCTTGGGTGCTTTTCCTATTCGTCTGCTAGCAGCTATTCGTATGGTTCCAGTTCGTGAGTTTTGAGTGCTATATTGTATGCCATTCGGGAGTTTGGAGCATTCCCTTACATGCGGTTCGGGAGTTTGGTGTTCTACAGTAGCTGTAGATCTACTAAACGGCGGTTTAACCCTTTTATGCCTGGGGGTGCCGTTACAATGATAATCTCATTTGAACAGTACAGAAGGGTTAGTCGACCGTCTTCAAAGGGTGTTTAAAGCCTGAGGTCCTCTGGGTTATGGGGGGGAGGGAGGTGGACACTGGTGGTAACTATGACATATCTGCTATGGTCCTATCTGCTTTCTCGTTCTCGGTCTGCTGTCATTGACAATTATTTATATTAATGTTAAAAGTGGTTGCTGTCAGCCTGTGTCATGCAGTGTCTACCTGTTGGGGGAAGCTGCTGGTCATGTTAAGCATGGTAGATGGGTGGGAGAGGGGTATACAACTCTTCAGAACTACTGTAGCTACAACTGACAGATGGTGAACCCATTTTTTGATGCATCCAGACAACAGGTTGATAGCCGCTCAGACCATGATGAAATCTGTGGCATATGTCCGAGGCTTTAAAGAAAACAAGACCTCCCAATCCACCTTGAAGAACTGGAAGGACGTGCAACTACCATCAAATCTCTCAGGCATGATAACGAATGGCTGAGAATAAGCAGGTTCAGGGGCTGGGCGTACTATGCCTTTAAGGATCATGACTTCTCGCTGCAACTCCGAAACAGTCTGGGCCAGGCTGGACACTTGCTGGGTAAGCTGCTTGCACATTTCTGCGGACTCCATGATGATCAAGTGTTTATGTCAGAGTCTTACCTGAGATGGGAGTCTTTAGCGCAGATATGTATGCTCACCCTTGCAGATAGACACAGTCCAAGGTGACCAGATAAGAAGCCACCTGGACTGTGAATCTGTGCGTGGGGGCTGTGCAGGAAAGGATTCCAATGCAGTACCAACAAGGACATAAACAGCAGGATAGTCAAGGGATAGTCGAAGTCAAAGGATGCCAGAGGTCAGGATTACCAAAGTGTAGCCAAAGTCAAGGGATGCCAGAGGTCAGGATTACCAAAGTCAGAAGCTGGGGTCAATATGTAGTAGAAGATCAAGAGACTGGAACACAGGGACTGAACACACACAACACGATCAAAGACTTTATAAAGTTCCCAGGGCGAGGCTGTTTTTATATACCCTGCTGATGACTGATCAGAGTCAGGTGAAGCACGGCAATAGATAAAGTCCAGCCCCCAGTGCTTCAGACAAGCCAGGATGAACAGGACTAGAATAATTCCATGACAGAACACAACCCATCAGATGGGCAAGTGGCGGGTCTATTCGCTGCAGACACACAGAAAAGGGGAAACAATGCAACACGAAAAGAGGTTAGCACCATGGTATCCCAGAAAAGGCGGTCCCCATGCACCACATTGTTTATGCTCCATCTCTTGCGGGGGGGAAACTATTACTCCGCAAATGGTTGTGTACGACCTCTGCGCAGGTCACGTATTGTGTTCAGCTAAAGTTTACGACTTCACTCAAAAACTACAGGCACAATAAAGATGTATTTAATACAAAAAGATATAACAGAAATAAAAACAAAACAAAAAAAGGTTAGAAACAAAACCAATCTCTATCTGTTTTTCCATAACGTGCGCACTGTCTGAGCCATATCCCCTGCGTGGGAGAACTGTTTATTGTGATGATGTCAATAAAAACGGATTTAACACGGCTCTCAGAGGGCAATGTGTAATAAAATGTGGCAAAAAGGACATTATATTTTTTATATTATATAGTGCCTATTATGTTTTAAAGTCTTGTTAAGAATCTGGAGGATTCTTTGGAACATATACTTTACAAGGGAAGGGTAATTTTCCCTCTCTCTGGGTGTAACATTGATACTGAGGTGGCTTAAAGGATCAATCTGGGCATTAACATGTCCTGGGAGCTGAGGACCGTAATACGTAAACTCCTAAAGTAAGAGTAACAAACAGTAAGGATAGTCTGAATTACTGGTCCTTAGAGTGGCCAGATTTAACAGTAAGAACAGTCAGAGAACAAGCTCAATAGCAGGAGAAAACAGGATAAATGTAATAGACAGGCCAAAAGGTCAGGAGCACAAAGATCAGAATAATTCAGTAAGAAGTCGCGTCAATAATGGCGCAGGAATGAGACGCATCAATAATGGCTCAGGAATGATGTGACTCTACATGAACACTTGGGTTTCTTCAATAATGATGCCAGGGTGATGCGTCCCTGAACCAAAATAAATAATAATGTGGTTACACAGTGCTGCGTCAGAAATAATGTCACATTGTGGGAGATGGTCCTAGCATGCATGACACAACATAACAAAGTGTGTTTGATATGGTTTTGGCCTCATATCTATGATTTGGTTTTCTCCGTGTTCAAATGTCTATAGTTTTGTTACTCAGCTCAGCCAATGAGAGATCAGTGTGAACTGAGCTGCTCACTTAACTCTTCATCCACAGCCAGTCACCATCCTCTTATTCTCTGCGTGGTGTTTCAAAGCTGTACTGTGAAAAAAGGGATAATGGGACAAATAATTAGAGGACAGTGATTCAGTATATGGGACGGAGTAATGTCAGCAGTTCAGCTCACAATGACCACTCATGATCTGAGCTGAGCATGTACTCAGAATTCATCTACTCAAGAAATTGCTTTGTGAAAAGAGGGAGCATAGCTAAAGGTACAGAATTATGCTGGAGAAAGTTGCAAAACCTTTTCCTTCTTTTAGCAAAACTAATGAGAGTTGACCATAAAGAAAAACGTAGCATGAATATGAGGCCATAATATATCAAATGCCCTTAAGTTATGTTTGTCCCGGAGTATGATCGCAGTGTCCTTTTAAGAGGTATGCATTTTCTATATTTTTTTGCTTGTTTGTTTGTTTTTGTTTAAACCTGCAAAATATGTAGATACTATTTGAATGATCTGCATAAATCAGAGCTTGCTTTTGAAGTACATACACCCTACCTGGAGGGAAAGGTACTCTATAAATAACATGCACTAGTGAGGTTTTGGGCAGTGGCTAGATTTCATGTCTACATTGATTGCAACAGTGATTGACAATATTGGATAAGATTTGTATTTGGTTCAGGAGTACCACCATGCCAATTTAATGGAAAATTTGATAAACTTGAGAAGTGATACATTAAGTATTTGAAAACAAAGAATACATGAAATAACCAATACCCATAACGTGCCTAAACCTACTTTCTTACACAGACAAGTGTATACAACAGGAAAAGTCTCCACTAATCATAGGCTTTCCATTCTAGTCTATGCTTCAGTTTGTTTTTTTCCTATCTCATGTTCTCTTGTCCAGCAGGAGTTTACGGAATAAATAGCTCATTGCCAACTGGATAGGATGAGTGTAACTGTTCAATAAGGTGACAGTCCCCATATCATAGCTTCAATCAGTTTATATACAGCAGTGTCCATTTTGTCAACAAACAATTTTAGTCAGATTTTAGGCGACTAACATTTTTGAGATTAAGTCGACTAAAACCGGACTAAAACTAACACAATTTAGATTACAAAAATACGAGTAAAATTAAAATGGCTTTTTAGTAAAAAGACTATGACTAAAACTAAATCGAAATTTGCCGCCAAAATTAACACTGCACAGAGGGGCTGTGGAAGGGGCAAAAGAGACAGACCAGGGTTTGGGAGAGAGACACCCAGAGGGGCTGGGAGGACACAAAGAGACACAAAGGATCTGGGGAAGGGGCAAAAGAGACACATAGAGGCTTCAATTAAACCCATTAGATTTCTAGTTGTGTCGAAAAAACTAAAAAAAACTTAAACAATTCAGATGACTAAAATACGACTAAAACTAAAATGGCTTTTTAGTCAAAAGACTATGACTAAAACTAAATTGAAATTTCCTGCCAAAATTCACACTGGTATACAGCCCAGTTCGTAGGTTTGTGGCTCAAGCTATAAGCTTTGATCTGCCAGGCAGCTGACTGCACGTGACCACAGCCTTCGCTTTTCTCAGGGGAAGAGAGAGATGTTTATCCTAGTTATGCAGCTCTGTATGCACAGGTTGAGTCAAGTTTAAAATATAACGCTTTATTGTAAATTATGTAAAAAAAAAAAAAAATGGCATTTAATGTTATAATGTAGCATACATAATCCAGAGTATCAGTCGTAACATGCAAAAAATATTCTATATTAGCAGCCAAAATAGTATAACAACACAAGTTTTCCCATTTCATTATCTGACGTTCACAGAGGATCTTACAAATATGGTCAAAAACAGTATTATTCACCTGGTAACAGGTTAAGGGTAGACAATCCCAACATTTTGGTTTCCCAAACCTGCCTACAGATGCCTGTCCTATAGGGGGCACTTGTTTTCAGCACTTATAATGAGCGTTTTTTGGAGATTAAGTTGCCTGATGGGGAGAGATAAGTACTCAGAGTCCTGGGCTGTGTTCTCTGAAGTCTGTCCGGTCAGCCTCCTATACTTGATAACAGAGCTACAGAAACAGATATAGTAATTACATCATAAAAAAAAAAGAAACGATAATATAAGAAAATTTAAAATATCAAGAAATAAAAATGGAAAAGAAGAAGTTAAAAATAGAAAGCAATAAACAATATAAACTTATACAGTTGTGTCAGAATGCCCCAAGGAAGGGTTACCTTAGCAGAGTGATGTCATGATCCTATCTTAAATTGACACAGGTTATTTTACAAGGACACTATAGGCACCCAGACCACTTCAGCTCATTGAAGTGGTGTGGGTGCAACTTAATTATTGCAGTCCTCTAAACTGCAATGTTTTACTTTGCAAGGTTAACTCCACCTAGTGGCTGTCTTATACTTGTGGGGTGTTCCCGGTATGCAGTGGTTAGTACCTACCAAAAGTGGTGCAAAGTAGACCAACAGGTGGACCACGTCAAGCTAATGGGCACCCAATGCTCACTGATGTACATGGGAAGTGTAGGCTACTTAAGCTCAAACTGCTTAAAAACGTAATGCTGCCCATAAGAGAAAAGTATCAGAACACACAGTGTATCACAGTTTGCTGTAAATGGGGATGCATAGTTGCAGACCTGTCAGAATGCCCATGATGACCCCTGTCCATCATTGAAAGCACCTTCAACGGGCACGGGCATGTCCGAACTTGACAACAGAGCAATGGAAGAAGGTTGCCTGTTCTGATTAATCATGTTTTCTTTTAGATCAGGCGGGTGGCCAGGTGCATGTGTGTTTTTTACCTGGGGAAGAAATGTCAGCATGATGCACTATGGGAGGACAGCAGACTAGTGGAGGAAGTACTTTACTCTAGGCAATGTTCAGCTGGGAAACATTGGGTACTGGCAATTCATGTGGATGTTACTTTGACACGTACCACCTACCTAGAGATTGTTGCAGACCATGTACACCCCTTTATGGCAATGGTATTCCCTGATGGTAGTGGTTCTGCACAAAAATTGTTCTGGAATAGTTTAAAGGACATGAAACAAGTTCTGTCTTGGCCTCCAAATTCCCCAAAATCTCAATCCTATAACAAATCAAATCCATGGCGGCCCCACCTCGCAACTTGCAGGATTTAAAGGATCTGTTGCTGGTATCTTGGTACCAGATACCACAGGACACGTTCAGAGGTATTGTGGAGTCCATGCCTCCACTGATCAGAGCTGTTTTGGAAACATGATGGGGACCTACACGATATTAGGCAGGTAGTTTTAATGATGTGGCTGATCAGTGCATAAGCCATTGCTCCTGCATTACCTCGTTGTTTGATTGTTGTTTGATTATTGAGTCCCCTTGGCTTGCCTTGCTGTAACCTCATTGCCTTGCAGCCTTAGTTTGAGTGGGCCCAAAGCAGCCCATATGGTAAAGTGATCCATCAATAGCCTCAGAACTTGGTTCATGTTCCTGACTACTTTCCTGGATTGTCCTTATGCTTCATAGCTCCTGACCCTGACTCTTGACTAAAATCTCGGATCACCCCTTTATGCCTGCTGCCCTCCAGACTTCAGACCTCAGCATTTGTTACCTGACTCTTATCTCAGATTATCTCTGTTC